TGAAGTATATGCTTAGCGATTCTTTCCTTGCAGTACACAAGGATCTGGACTGGTATTCTAGTCCAGTGTTGGGGTTGATGGGCTAACAGGAGGCCTGGTTAGGAGAGGTTTCCAAAGAAAAGAACACACATGAAACAGACACCACAAAAAAGCAGGAACCAAACTTTATTTACCAGCACAGTATTTAGAGTAATGTTTCATCAACTTACTGAAACCCATTAAGACAAAACATTCTGGGTGATCTTGCAGGCTGTGTGGTACAGGTGGTTGTCTATACTGACTCGTTGTTATACAAAGAAACCCCACCGTGCACCTGCACTAAATGGCAGGATTGTGTCCTCAGCTTCCTTCACATACCCTCAGTTGTCTGGGCTTTGTCAGATCTCACAGTGGACCCCGATACCCCTCAACTGTCTCCCCTATCCTATAGAATAGGGAAGGGGGGTTCTTCAAACTTAAAGCAAGAAATTCTAATGAGTAAGAAGAAAACATGGTCAAGTACAAAAAACTTTGGTAAGAGTCACTCTGCAGATAAATTCAGAAGGCTCTAATATTAAAACATAGTGTGCAACCACTCATCTATTTATTATAAAAATAAACCCAAAACAATGAAATAATACTAACAAACATTAATATGTTCAGAGATATGCAATGCAGAAAGATGTAAAGAAGTTAGGTATTTTTTAAAAGAATGAAAACTAATGGAGTGGAAACTCATTTTTACTAGTACATTTTGTCTCTTCAGTTTGTCTTTATAATTATGAAGTTGCTATCATTTCAACACAACTTGTTATAATAAAAATATGGTTTTTGTAAGCTTCATGGAATTGTAAAGCCAAAAATTTATAATAGACAAAGAAAAATAAGCAAAGAATCAAAAAACACTACTGGAATAAATCACTTACCACAACAGATTTACTAGAGGACACAAAGAAAAAAAGAATGACAAATACAAAATACACATGATCTTACTAGTCAATAATTATTTTAAATATAAATGGACTAAATACTCCAATAAAAAGCACAGAGTGACTAAATGGATAAATAATTAGACTCAATTATATGTTGCTTAAAAAAAACAAAACTTAACCACCAGGAACACCAAGGAACTGAAAGTAGAGGAGTGGAATCAGACTTTCCATGGAAATGGATTCTGAAAGAGAGCAGGAGTAGCCATGTCTGTATCAAAAATAGACTTAAAGTCAGTAAAAAAAGAGAAGGTTGGCCACTAAATAATAATAGTTAATTCACTAAGACATAAGAAGCCCAAATATATTACACCCAATATTGAAGCAATCAAATACATAAAGAAAAATTAGTAAACCTAAAGTCAGATATAGACTTCAATACAATAAACATAGAGAATTTGAACACCCACCTTTCATAAATAGATCATCCAAAGGGAAAAAAATAAACAAGAAAATAACAGAGTTAAATTACACCATACGTAAAATGGACCCGACAGACATCTACAAAACATTCCCTCAAAAAGCTGAACAACAGATATTATTCTCATTAGTACACAGACTATTCTCCAAAACAGATGATATAATAGGCTACAAAAATAAGTCTCTACAAATTTAAAAGAACTGAAAATCAGTTATCATTTCTAACCTCAGTGAAAATTATTAATCAATAATATGGAAAGCTTTGGAAATTGTAGAAATTTAAGAAATTATTCTACTTTTTTTCCTTTGGGTTTTCCTGAAACATAGTCTTGCCGTACAGACCAGGCTGCCCTCAATCTCATGATTATCCTTCCTTAGTCTCCTGAGTGCTGGGATGATAGGGATGCACCACTGTATCCACGCAAGAATTTATTCTTGAAGTACCAATGGATCTTGGAAGTAATCAAGAAGGAAATTTAGATAATTGCAAGACCAGTGAAAACTGAGACCTGAGATACCAAAACACATGGAATACAACAAAAACAGTATTAGGAGGGAAGTTTATAGTAATCAATGACCATCTGAAGAAAAGTAGAAATACTGCAAATAAGCAACATATCATTGTATCTTAAGGAATCTGAAGAACAACACCCAATCAAACCAAACCACAAATTAACAGATGGAAAGAAAAGCAGAAAGAAATAAAAGAGGAATAAAAATACAAAAGATCAACAAAACCAAGAACTGGTTCTTGGAAAAGATAAATAAAATTGACAAACCCGTAGCAAATGAAGAAAAAGATAGATGACTCAAATCAATACAATCAGAGGCGAAAAGCAATGCATTAGTACTGACACCAGAAAAATTCAAATGATTCTTAGAGATTATGATGAACACCAACACATTTGACCACTTACAAGAAATGGGCAAATTCTTGAAAGCAAAGACTTTACCAATATTGAACATGGGAAAAAAACCTGAATAGACAAAAAGGAAGTGATAAGATTATATCACTAATAAAAAGTTCCTCATCAAAGGAAAGCTCAGGATCAAATGACTTCACTTCCATGCTCTACCAAGTATTTAAAAAACTAATACTAATTCTTAATGTATTCAAAACAATTAATGAAGTAATTCTTCCACATTCTATAAAGCCAGTGTTACCCAGATTCCAAAATCAGACATGGGGAGGGGGGGACCACCATTGGTCAATATACTTGGTGAGCATATAGGCAAAAATCCTTAGCAAAATACTAACACATTGACAATTAAAAAGATTTTCCACCATGATCAAATGGGACTCAGCCTATTAGAGATGCAAGAATGGTTCAACAGACACAAATCAATAAACATGGCACCCTATCTCAACAGATTTAAGAAAAAAGACCATATGACCATCTCAATGATGCAGAAAAGGCATTTGAAAAAATTCAACATCCCTTAATGATAGACCACTCAACAAATTAGATATAGAAGGAATCTGAAGACTACATATCATAGGCCAACAGTTAACATCTCATGAATGGGAAAGAGCTGAAAGCTGTCCCTTGGAAATCTGAACAGCACAGAGATGCTCACTTTCACCACTTCTGTTCCACATAGTTCTGAAAGTCCTAACAAGAGCAATCTGAGAAAGAAAGGGCATCCAAAGGGGAAAAGAGAAAGTCAAATTGTCAGTGTTTGCAGATGATGTGATTATGTAAACAGAAATCCCCAAAGACTCCACCATAAAAGGGTAGAGATAAAATTTTTAAGAAAGTTTCAGGATACCAAATTGATATACAAAAATCATTATTATTGCTCTATGCCAATAACAAATTATTGGAAATAGAAATCATGAAACTAATCTCATTTATAAGATCTATACAGAGGTAGACTTGGTGGCAATGAGAAGGGGAGACAAGGGTTGGCAGGGGGCAGTAAAATTGATCAAGACGTGATATGTATAAATTCCAATTCCCCAAGGAGAATGTCAATATTATGCATTGCAACAATATGCTAAGAATAAAAGAATCAAAAAGAGCTACAATAAAACTCAAAACTAAGGAATAAATTTAACAACAGTGGTAAAATAGCTCTACAATAAAAATTATAAAACATTGATGAAAGAAATTGAAAAAATAGAAAGGCATTCCATGTTCATGCATCAAAATAATCAGTATTGTTAAAATGTCCATAACACTCAAAGCAATTGCCTGAATCAAAGCAATCTCTACATAAGTACCAATACCATTCTTTACATAACAAGAAAAAAAAAATCCTAAACTATATTGGGAAACATACACACACACACACACACACACACACACACACACACACACACACATAACCTCTGAGTAACCAAAGTCACTTTGAGCAAAATAGGATGTTTCTCCTTTATGGTGCCTAACTTCAAAATATACTATAACAAAGCTGTAGTAATTAAAAGAGCAGAGCACTGACATAAGTACAAACATTTAGACCAGTGGAGTAGAATGAAACTAGACCCTAACACTCATTAATTCTAAAAATCAAGTCAATATGGATTTAAAACTTAGTTATAAGAGCTGAAAATATGAAATTATTTGTTTGTTTTCTTTGGTTTTTTGAGACAGGGTCTCACTATGTAGTTGAGACTGACATGGAATTCACTATGTAGCCCACTCTGGTCTCGAACCCACAGGGATCCTCCTGCCTCAGCCTCCCGAGTGCTGGGATTACAGGCATGCACTACCACCCCTGGCTGGAATTATTTGAAGGAAGGTTATGAGAAATGTTTCAGAATATTGGAGTAGGAAAAGAGTTTTTGAACAAAATCCAACAGCATATCAAAGTAAAGAAATTTTGATAAAGAAAACAATAATCAGAGTGAGGAGATAGGCTGAATAAGAGAAACGTTTGCATACTAGCAAGGAACTGGTATCCATAATACATCAGGAATCAAAAGTCTCAATAGCAACAAGTCAAATAACCCAATTAAAATACAGGGAATAGACATTTCTAAGATATACAAATGGCTGACAGACATATGAAAAATTATTCAACAACAGTTATCATCAGAGAAATCCAAATCAAAACCACAAAGGGAAATCACCTCTCTCCACAGAGAATGGCTAGGAACAGAAAGACAAAAGATGTCCAGTGCTGATGTAGAAATGGAGAACGGAAGACCTCTGTACATTGGTAAAGGCGATGCAAATTAATGGAGCTGTTATAGTAAGCAGAATGGAGCTTTCTTTAAAAATTAGGAGTAAATCTACCAGAGGATGCAGCAATGACACTACTGAGCCTATGACAAAAGGAAAGGAGATCAGTAACTTGAAGAGATCTCCGTGCTGGCATCAACTGATGAACAGAGGAAGGAGACGAGATACTTGTGTGCTGTGGAGTAGGATTCAGCTCCAAAGCGTATGAAGTCCTATCGTTTTTTACAACATGGGTGAAAGTGAAAATGATGACGCAAAACAAACTTATTCAGGTACAGAAAGACAAACGCAGCATGCTCTCACTCATGGGTGAAGTCTAAAAACTGTTGATCTTATGGAACTTGAGGGTGGAATGGTGGCTATCAGAGGCTGGGAAGGTCAGGGAAGGTGAGGAAAGACTGACCAAAGTCTACAAAGTTAGCGTTACCTTGCAGTAAAGTTCGGCTGTGCTTTTCTGTGCAGTTGTGAGGTCTCGTGACCACAGATAACAACTGGGTATTGAATCTATCAGAAAGATAGAAGAGCGAATCTGGAATGATTTTTAAGAAATGATAATATTGGATAATTTGACTTAAATGTTATGCAACATATACATATGTTGAAATATCACATGGTACTTCATTAATATGTACAAATTTTACGCTTTATGTGTCATTTAAAATAACTTTCATTTAAATTAAAAAAATAGTTCTTTAAGAAAGTAATTGAAAGAAATTTTTCTTAGAGCCCATACTGCTATCGTTTCATGAACTCAAGCTTGAAGGCATCTTGCTTTGACGTACGCAAGGATTACAATAAATAGATTATGAGTAAGTAAATAGTACAGAACATCAACAAAGTAGCAACACTTGGAAAATAATAAACCAATAGCAAAGAACAAGCCAAATCTTTTTGAGATCAAGCAGGCAAGAAAAAATAGGAAATCCTTTGCAGAATGATTCATTAAAAATGCGCTCTCTCCCTCCCTCTTTCCCTCTCTCCCTCTCTCCCTCCCTACCCCCGTCTCTTTCTGCCTCTCTGGTCTTCTTTCTTTCCCTTCCTCATTTCTGTTGCTCCGAATCCAGAGTTTTGCACCTAGTTCCTGTGATCCGACCCTTAAGTCAAATGCCTCAAGTCCAGTTCGAAGTCAAGTTCATAGCAGCCTATCCATGATAGTTTGTAAAAATCAAAACTGAAGTCTGTATCACAGTGAGGAAGAATGGTAATGACAAAATATTTTAGCCTTTAGCGAGGTCACAGAGGCAATGTTTCTGGCGCTAACATATCATTTGCTCATAAATCTTGTGGAATTCATTTTAATATCATTTCGCTGGTGTTTCTTTCCTAAAGAAGCTTGGTTTGCAAGTCTGATTTATTTTTGTTTTGATAGAAATATTTTATGATGGTCATAGAGAACCAAGAAAGTCTTTAAGAAATATTTGTTTACAAACTATTTAAAATGCGGCTTTTCCTATAAACTGGAATAATCTTTTTATTATATTAAACAATTCTACTCTTCATTCGTTTTTTTGAAAGATACCTGAATTCTGAATTTAAACACTTTTTAATCTGTTAAGTGATATATAAAGAATAAATAGGACACAGACTAGATACACACAGGCAATGAAGCTGATCAACTTTTCTTCGTCACTTTCTCATTGCTGGGACAAAAATACCCACCACTCACAGGTTAAAAGAGCACAGGTTCATGTGGACTGATTTTAGAGGGTCCAGTACGCTGCCACTTGGCTCTGAGGCCGAAATGGCATTGTCAAGCAAAGCTGCTCATGCCATTGTGACCAGGAAGCAGAGAGAGAAGGCAGGAGCCATGAGATACTCCCTCCGGGGACACACCCTAGTGGCCTGCCTCTCACCAGACTTCACCACACAATGGGAGACTCAGCCACTGACCTCGTTATTGATCGAATCCACCAATTAATGTAATGCCCCTGCCTCTGAGAGCATAAAAGTTTTGGTAGCTGTGCTAGGGCTAACCCATAGCATTGGGTGTATGGATCTCTGATACTATCATGACATAAAGTCCATATTCTTTCTTAGAACCTTTGATAATTCAACCTGCTACCTGTATAGTTATGGATGTACATCCATATTCCATCTCATAATTCATGGCAATATGCACTTGAAATATTAGGTGGGAATCATTAGAAAAGCAACAATCACTGTAAATTGAATCAATTCCTAATGTTAGGAGTAAAGGCCAATATTTATGATTCTACAGCTTGAAGTTTTCATGGTGCACTATGCACACCTGAAGCATGAGTTATGAGCAAGGCAGATCCAGTACTCTGCGTTCTGGATAAAGGGGTAACATGTCTCCCAGAGTTCATGTTAATAAATGGTCTGAGGAATACCACAAGCAGCGTTTGGCAAGACTGACAAGGGAGAAAAAGCTACCTAGGGATACATTTTATTTCCAAAGCAGGGTCTTGGGAAGGGCCTAGGAAGGTTGTACTCATATTTCTCAATAGCAGAACATGTTTGTGTTTGCTTGAGCATGAACAGGAATGGCTCAGCGGGCAGGGGACTGAGCCCCATTTCAGGAGGAGCTGCGGAGATGTTGCTGGAGACCCAGTTTCCATGAATGAAGTTTCACCGGGGAGAGTGATTCATATAGCAAGGAAAGAGGTGCATTTTCTAGAAATGAAACAAAACGTCAGAATGAAACCAGACCAAGCTGGATTCCACGTGATGAGTCTTTCTGACATTCAACTACAAATATTGAAATTGCCCTTTATGACAGTTAGGATTGATCCCTGCCTCCAAAAGATAAATGACCATGTAAGTAGTGTGGATGTGAGAAGGAAGAAGCACAGAACAGAGAGTGGTGCAAAACAGGAGTTCCAGGAAGAGGAAGGATACTATTAATCTCGCCGTCAACTCCTTTCTCTTTCCTCTTTGAATTTGGATAATTTCTGATAATTATCACATCATTTAGATCATGTCTCTTTCTAAAGCTAACAGCACTTAAACTGTTAAGCAGAAATTTGGTATAATGAGGGTGCCCTGTCCTCTAAAAGAAAAAAGTTATTCCTGCTGATCCCCAAGACCTCATCCACATGCTTTTATGGGGGGGGTGACTTGACAGATATCTAAAGAAATGGTAGTATTAGAACGCTATTATTTCTGAGCACCATTAGGAAGTAAAAAGTAAAGGCAGCTTTTTTAACAGGAGAAAGCTTAAAACTCTGTGTCCTTCATTCCTTAAATATTTTCGAAGGCCTTACATTGTGCTGGGCTCTGATGTAGCTGGCGAGCTAACAAGGCGTGACTGCTGACCTCAAGAAGTCCACAATCTAGCTGAGAAAGTAAAACAAGAAGCAGTTGCAGTTATTCTAACAGGAGAAAGGCAAAGGTCTGTAGAAGCACAAAGATGGCAGTCTGTCTGCAGAAAGTCCTGCTCAGCAAGGGGACAGAGAAGCCACAGGAGTGGGAATGAGTTCTGGCCCACAGGGACATTATATGTGGAGGCCATAGCAAGACAGCAAATAATACACTGGAAGAAAAAAAAATAAACTAGAACTTACACCACCAAAAACTTGGGGGAGAAGTGTGATCAAGTTTCCAGCGGCAGGTAGGAGCAAGACCTGTGTTAGGTTAAGAAATTTATGATGTGGCCTAGGCACCTGCATTTTCTAAGCAGAGTTTAACAATTATAAGAATTCTTAATAAATCCCTCTGTGGAATAAAATTCTTTCTTTAAAGATTTAAATCCATCTCTCAGTAACATCTTACAATCAGCTGCTTTTATAAGCACTACAGGGCGGTGTGGGTCTTAGAAATAGTTGTAAGGGTTGGGTGGGAAAGACATTGAAACTAAAGTTTTAACCACGGTGGTCTATAAGGTTCCCATGCCAAGATGCCTTAGGTCTGATGTGTGCTCGTTGCACTCATACCATTTTAACAAGCATTTCCAAGGGACTGTTATACTCTCATTAGAGGATCACTCTGTGAAACACTGACATGTATCTGAAATAGGTCACACACATTTTATGCCTTTACAAGTTTCTCTGGTGTGAAAAACTATAATAGTACATAAGATCCTAATGATACGATTGACCATGTGAAATAGGAAGAAAAGTACTAAAGGTGTAGGGAAAATGGGAAGGGTCGGGGAAAGGTAATAAGGGAAAAGAAAAAAAAATGACAAAATGAAAAAAATGGAAATAAAGTGTTTGTAAATGGGGAGGGGAGGAGGGGGTGAAGGGAGGGCACGGACAAGGGGAAAAAAATGAGAACCAAGACCTGTCATGTAAAGGTACAAGATCCCAATAATGAATGTAACTGTACTGTATACCTTAAATGTACCAATAAACTCAATAAAAGGGGGAAAAAAAAAGTAATGGTTTGAGGGCCGGAGATTTAGTTCAGTGGTGCCACCGCCTGCCTCACACATGCAAGGACTCATGTTTGATCCCCAGTACGGGAAAAAAAAGTAATGGTTTGGTTTCATTTTGCAGTGCCAGAAATTAAACCCAGGACCTCAATCACACTGAGCAAACACTCTGTCACTGAACTATACCCCCAGCCTAGAATGTTTATTTTTTAGAATTTTTTTTTTAATTTTTAGAAGTATTTTATCTGAAATTTTAAAATTCCAATTAGCAAATACAGGATTTTTAAGTATTAAGATTTTTCTTTCTCTATCATCCAAACACTTTTTCCAAAAGAAAACTGATCATATTTTAGAGTTTTGGCTTAAGAGAATGCTTTAGGAATATCATTAAAATACTTAGCAAATATTTTAGTAATAAATTTTTTTAAAATCTGTCTTTACTCTTTTCCTAATGTTCTTTTTCATAATAGTGAAAACAGTTAATTTACTCATGGGATGAACTTCATGTAAAGTTTTATGTCTAAAACTCAATTCAGTTTTTCACTGGCTCTGAACACAACATCTGCAAACCATTAAAAGGAAATTCCTTTGGAAATCATCAGAGTGTGATTTTATGGAATGATTTCACTTGGAATAGTCATTCATATGTTTCAGGGTATTTCAAAAGTAGTTATGACCTAAACTAATGAAAATAAATTTTATTTTACTCAACATATTAGAAATCAGTCTATGGCCATACCATGCTGAATGCAGTGGATCTCATCTGATCTTGGAATCTAAGCAGGGTCGGGCCTGGTTAATACTTGGATGGGGGAAATCAGTTTTCATAAATTACTTTTAATACTCGGTATGTCCTTGAAAATATCTTCGGATTTTGGGTGGGGCAGGAAGAGGGAATTGTAGTTGGGACCTTGCACTTGAAAGGCAGGCAGTAGAACCACTGAGCCAAATCCCCGGCCCTGCACATTAATTTTTATATAAATACAGTTATCATTGCTACAAAAATATTCTTTAGAAAAGACATTAAAATAGCAAAGGAATTCTTTGAAAAAAAAATAACTCCATAAGTTAGCAGATGTAAAATTCTACTTAATACTATCCAAAAGTCAACCAAGGCAAGGGAGAAAAATGTTTTCATATGCTCTCTGAACTTCATCTCAAGATAAATATGGGCAAAGATGAACATTCTACCCACAGAAAGATATATGAATTCTTTCTTTTTTCTAGTATGGGGATCAAACTGAGGACCTTGCCCTTGCAAAGTAGGCAGCAGAACCACTGAACTAAATCCCGGCCTAATTCATTTTTAATATTTAGTCTTTTCAATCTAACATTAGAGTGCTAATACTTAAGAATGTAGAAAGGGGACTGTTATTCCCTACTCAGTCATGAATTGAAAGAGGGAAAAATAGATGCATTACATCTAATTTTATATATATGTCAATAGTTAGCTATATTTTATATAGTGTATATTATATACCATAAATAATAATTGTTTGTGAATTACAAATATATATTCACGTTTATAATATAGAAATTATATATCATCCCTCTATATACAATATCCTTTAAGCAAAAGAATTCTTAAAATCCCTGTACTACAAAACAACACTGATCAATACTTTTAAAAGAAAAAGTTTAATTCTAAGGCAAAGTTTATGTAAAAAATAGTACTGAGCATTCTTCATTTTTCAAAGGAAAAGGAACAAAACACTTTTTAGAAGTTAGAAGTTTTTACTTTAAGCATGCCAATTTTTCCCAACAATACGACTATCTGCTGGAATTTAAGAATACTAATGCTAAAAGTTTTGGAGGCCTTATATTGCATTTTACAACTGTGAACCTAATGTGGCTTTTACTGTGTGTGTGTGTGTGTGTGTGTGTGTGTGTGTGTGTGCTTTGTTTTGTTTTGTTTTTTGTACCAGGGATTGAACTCAGGACCTTGTGCTTGTGAGGAGGCAGGCAGTGGCACCACTGAGCTGAATCCCTGGCCTACTATATATTTTTAAACACAAGTGACTATTTCCAAAAATGAGTTCACTTACAGATGCAATCTTGTCCTCTCTGCAGATCTCACAACTAAAAAGAAAAGAAGAGTTTTGCGTGGGCCAGGGATTTAGCCCAGTGATTCTGCCCCCTGCCTAGAAAGCACAAGGTCCTGAGTTTGATCTCCACTACCAAAAAAACAGAAAGAAAGAGTTTTAACTTCACCTTCTCTTAGTTAATGGGACCTGGTCTGAGGGCGGTTGGCTGACAGCATGACTTGAAAGCTTATATTCTCCTGGGCTGCTCCCTCAATCTCTGCTTCCTAGCTGCTCTGCCCTTGTGTCATGTGCTTCTGCCTTGGAGCCAACCAACTTTGGATTGAACCGAGTTGTGAGCCAATAAGCCTCTCCTCCTTTAATGTGTAGGTATCGGATGCTAGATCCCAGTCGTGGAAAAGTGAAGAATACTGAGATCTTGCCGAGCAATGCATGGTAATATATCTTCCACATTCTACTTAGTTATAGGGAATGGTCATGGTAGAAGATTTGCTAGGAAACACTTGAAAAATAAGATTGCATTCACTAGCTAGGTAAGACAAGGAAGGACAGAAGTTTCTAAGCTTGAGATTCAATCAAACAGACAGAAACTCACTCCAATTTCCACTCTCATTGTTTAACTATGGGAACGTTCACTAATCTTTTACAGCCTTCTTTTTCTAAATTATCAAATGGTAATAGTCCTTTCCTTATAGAATAATCATGAGTTTTAAAAACAATGAATGGGGCCCGGGATTTAGCTCAGTGGTTTGGTGACCTGCCTTGCAAGGACAAGGACCCAAGTTCAATCCCTGGTACCAAAAAAATAAAATAAAATAAAAACAATGAATGTAATGTGCTTAGATGAGTGCCTGGCTCAGCTGATTCTTAATAAATATTGGCTATGTCTTTTTCCTTTCTTTCTCGCTTTCTTTTTAACTATTCAGTTAGATCATTGACCATGCAGAGAAAAGGCATAACCCAATATGCTACGTGGATGAGGGAACTTCAAGTGATTAGTTATCTAACCAGTCATTTGTCAATCAGTTAGTCGGCAAACTTGAATGCCTATTTTGTATCAAATGTAATTCACCTCTTCTAATGTGTTCTAGGGGCTGTTATTGAAATACTTGCAGAAACAGAGAGAACTAAATCAATGAGTGGCCAATTTTGCATGGTTAAGAGTATGAAGTTTTCATAGAACACATTACATTTGAACCCTGTAATAGAGTTATTGAGAACTCAGCCATTGTCTTTTCTGGGGAACAGGAGGCATTCTAAGTATCTTAAAGATATGAAATATATAGTCTGTGTGTGTGTTACTGTATAAAGAAAGACTGTCTCAGGGGTTGTTGGCACATGAGGAACAATACAAGAGATTAATATCAGATAAAATACAGAAAAAATATTCTGGGAGCCTTAATATTTAGAAATCCCCATACATAAGCTTTCCCTGTTTTAAAAGTAATGTTTTGCGGTAGACGTATTTTGAAATGCAAAGGGTTAAATTGGATCTTTAGAAATAAAACAGCTATACACATACACTTTAATAAAAGGTGTATTGCTGCTTGTATATTAAATTGCATTCACCAACCTTTCACAAGTAGGCTATACAAGTATGCAGAAATGTTAAATCAAAATGTAAATTTTATCTTAAGTATATCCCCCAAGGTATCTTCTCAATAAATGTATTTAATCCTATCTTTTAAAAATCTATTCAGGAAGGCCTGAATTTGCCAACGCATGCATTTCTGTGAATACTATCCTTTTATGGGAATCTTCTAGCCAGCAGTTACATTTCTAGAAAACAGTAGATCAAGTTATATGTGGACTCTGATTTGTATCATATACACAATATAATAAATGTTCATAATAGATTGATGTAATCCAGGGACCAAGATGCTAAGAAAGATTATATTTTTAGTAAGACTGTGCAAGTCTCATTG